TTTGTAATTTGGTTAATCAACCTTCTATGTAGTCAGACAACTGAGTTTTTGTTTCCTCTTACTGATAATAAATAACTAATTTCTGTACTGAATAAATTAAGAAGCTATTTGTCTTTGCAGCAATAAATACTTTTAATACCAGTTAATGAATCCCATTTGCTAATTCTGTTACAAGTTGCTATGAACAATAGAAATTCACACTAAATAACCCTAAATTCCTAATTATTTCCAGTGATGGCTAAAAGGGTAAATAAATGACACTCTTCACACTCAATATTAATTTTTCCAAAGGAATTTACAATTATGGAACACTCCAGCTATGTTTATAATCACCCATAATCAAATCACTTGATGTCCTACAATAACTAGTATACAAATATTCTAAGAGTATACACACACACACACACACACACACACACACACACACACACACACACACAAATTCACATGCTAAGAACAGCAGCCCAATACAAATATTTTTTCAAAATAGAACTCTTTTAGTTACAGCTCATATGTAAAAGTTGGTTCTAATAATTTTAACAAATCTTTGTTTAAGTGAAGAATTTAAAGAATGTACAATACCATTTGAATGTCTTTTGCAATTTCCTGCATGAAATAACATGAAAAACTATGAAAGTGAGACATCTGATATTTTCTGTACTATAAAAATCCTATGCTCAAAACATAATGTATTTCAGCAAATGACAAGTGAAAAACTTAATATATAATAAAAGATAGACTATAGGAAACAAAATATTACTTAAGCATTAAATATTTGTTGACCATTTTTGACACAAAAAAAAGATAGGTAATCACTTATCTAGGGTTGCCCAAGACAGTCCTAGTTTACACATTTAGCATGGCAATAATTATTAATAGTGCTCCCAATAATATCCTGGCAGGTGATTGCATTACTAGCTTCAATACTTAGCCTCTCCCGGTTATCTATGCCCTGTAGTATCCTCTCACTCTGACTCCATGGCCAGGTGACTTGCTTTGGTCACTGAGATATTAGCTAATGGGACACGAGGAGAAACTTGAAAAGCATTTGGACAAGTTGAGCTTGCTTTTGTGCCTCCACCATGCCATGAGAACATGCCCAGGTAGGCCTGCTGGAGTCTGAGAGATGAGAGGAGCAGCGTTTAATTGCTGAACAGTCATGATACTTAACCCAGCTGAGCACTAGCTCAGTGAATGAATGACCCGATTGAGACCAGAAGAACCATGCAGGAGTGCCCAGCCTAAATCACCAAACAGCAGACTCATGAGATTAAAAAATATATATATATATATATATTTTTTTTTATTATATATATATATATATCATATTATATATATATATATGTGTGTGTGTGTGTGTAATTTTAAACCTGTTTAAACTTTTTGAGTGGCTTGTTAAAATGCTAATAATTATAAGAGCTGGGAGGAAATAATTCACTTATACACATACAAAAATAGTTTATAAGCAGTACCTTCATTTCCATTAGTTCTGTTGTATTTGGAGGAGTACTAAGAGCTTTTTCAGCTATCTTCTCAAATTCATCACATAAACTGAAACAACAGAGAAAACCAATCTCAAATAATTAATTTCATTCCTAAATATATTACTATATACTATGTAAATGTTTCATTATGTGAAAAATAAAGTAACATTATCTTACCTAGATGACATCTAATTAATTAAAAGCAAATTTGTGTTCATTTACTTATTCATTCAATACACATTTAGTGATCATCTACCACGTTCCCAACTACAGTATTAAGTGATACAGAAATGGATAAAAGGTAATGATGATACTCAAGAAGTTCACAATCTAGTAGGAAAGATAGAACTATAAACAATAATTTCCGGCCAAGAGATTTAAGGACTCTACTAGAGATTTAGTTGAGATGGCACCAAAAAAAAAAAAATGGTACAAAGGAAGGGAGTGATTAAACTTATTTGGAGGGAATGGTTAAAATGGGCCTATATGCTCAGAAACTTCTGGTAATATGTAAATATTTCCTACTGATTTGGGCTGTGACCAATATAAATAATGAACTTATTGTGAAGCTAAAAAACAATAAACAAACAAA